AAGCTTCCTCGTGGATATTTTCCTTTATCAATGGTTGTTCTTTGGACACAATGGACAGATTGTAGTACAGTGCCAGTGCCTCAGCTCACAGCAGGTTGAATAAAGCTAAAGCAGGGCTTGGACCCAATATTTTTTCCCAGTAGGTTGTAAAATTTGGTAGCTGTCATAAGTATTGGCTTCCTCTTTCTGAAAAGGAAACTGGTTTTGCTCTGGGACAGCAAGAGAGCAAAAAAAACAGCAAAGCCCCCAATGTTCAACAACTGTCCACCACACACAATGCTGAAGAGTCCCAAGTTCATCTTTACAACAGGATTCAAGCTTAAAAATACAGGAATTCTTCTAAAAATCCAACTCACAAGCACATGTGTTTATCTTCTCTCCAGATCTACAAGAATTTACAACAAAAATTTTTAGAAATTTGTCTAGAAAATGTCTAGAAGTATAAGCTGATGAGTCAGTACATTGGTCTGTTATGGTTCAGAGCTACAAGTAGTATAATTAATGCAATTTGGAGTAAATTATGCTGTAAAATGGCCCCTGTGAAAAGTTTAGAAGTTAATGGAAAGATTTCTACTGCCTTCAATTCTTGGTTGTGCTCAAAGCGAGCATCTCCACCAGCTGCATAGTACACATACATTGTAGATGCATTTCAGCAGTTTCCCTGGACATTTACAACTGCAGTTTTCTCTGCTTTAAACTCAGCAGAGTGTAGCTGGTGGCCATGTGTACAAGGAATGGTGGTGTACTTTTCAGTGTGAGTGACAGTTTGACAGACATCTTGTAGAGGTTGGGATATTAGTTTCTAAGCTTAAGCTTCCCAGTGGAATTCCCATTTTTCTAAAAAAAAAAAAAAAAAAAAATCTGCAAAAACTTTCTTGTCTTATCCTCAGACCAAAGCCCAGTTTAGCAATCTCAAGTTGGTAGTATTTTATAGTTCTCTTGATTAAAGTTTCTATCAGTTAATTTTCATATAAACACATTCTTGCTTCTACTGACACAGTCAATACTAAATACTTGTGAACTAGTTCAGTTCACACACGTCTTTAAAATTTAAAATATTTAAAAGAATATCAAGAGTCACAGACTTTCTTAAAGAAAAAAATCAGATAATCTTGGCCTAAAGCTCTCTCATCCAGCAGCCAACCCCACACTCCAGCCTCTATATGTAACTGCTTGTACAAAATTCCTTCTCAGTCAGTTTTCAGACTTCAGTTCCGCCTCATTATTTGACAAACCACTTCTCACCCCCATCCTAGATATATCTTAGGAATTCCTGGGCTGCTTGACTTTTGATTTTTCAGAAGAAACTATCGGTGTTATAACTTTCATCTTACACAAAGAGGCCATTGACCCAGGTGCTGATGTTTAATTATGTCCTCTAATACCTCCTTCCTAAAACATTGTTTGACTTTTCTTGGATCTACACTAACACTAATTTTCTGTGGTAGATAGAATATGCAGCCTGGAATACTTAAAATAAAAAGAATATATTCCCCAAAATACAGAGTTGCATTCATACAGATTAGCTTCCCTGTCATGCCAGAATAAATCACTCAAAACTATTTTACATTGTTTCCTACTAGTCATAAATAGAATTCACACGGTGATAATGCTTGCTGTGATATTAGGCCTGAATGTTGTTCATTTCTCCAGATACCATCAGTTTTTATAACCTGTCTGTACTTAGATTTTGTGACAAACATTTGTCATAGACATAAGCTCCACTGGGCTGTGTGTTACACATGTGCAGAACAAAGTTTTTGAATTTTTCATATATTCCACCATAACATTTTCAAAACCACATCTTTACTGAGTTTTCTACTGCTTATTCCTGTGAGCATTCAAATCTGCATTGACATTTTAGGTAACTTAGGTAACATGGTGGCCATTTTAGTGTCAAAGGAGAAAAATTAATATAAGATGTTCCAAGTGCTTGGCTTCCATGATATTCTAAAAAAATATTCTGAAAGGTTGAGTAATTCAAACTGAAAATAATTCGAGCATTTTTTGGCATTACAATCAATGTTCATAAAGAAACATGTGGCCAGTTTAGGGTAGTCAGTACAAAGCAGCAAATTGACTCCATTATTTTACAGAGGATCAAGCACTAGGCAGAAGTTTACTCACATTATTGTGCTCAACTCTGATGAAATAATTGAGATTGCAGATGGAAGGAGCATGTAGCCCATCAAATCTTTTTAAATACCCATTTTTATTAGTATTTTTTACCTGTTATGCACATCATTAGCATTGTAAGGAAAGCAAGAGTCATAGTACATATATTCCTGAAAGTAAGCCAGCTTTAGAGAAAGCCAACATTATCTTCCTTTCACCCTACAAATGAGAGGATTAGAAGTACAACGGAAAGCAAGAATGTTTAGAAAGTCTTGGAGGCCACTTTAAAGCATGTGTATGTTACAAATGATCACAGAAGTGAATATTAAAAGATGCATAGCTGAATTCCAAAATTGTAGAGGTTTTGGCAAGCAAGTAAGAAGCCCTTTTCACATAGTGTCATCTGTTTTTACTTTTACACTACAACAGCCCTGCAGTATCCTTTTAAATAGTGCAGGAGCCCTCAGCTGGGCCTCCCTAACTTGTAGTGGAAAACCCACCAAAATGTAGAAAAACCTTACCCTCTCCATAGCAGGAGCCATGGGTCAGGAGTGCATGTGTGTATGCCATAATATAGGGCAGAGCTGTGTGATCTGTATAGGTGTTACAGATGAGAAATTAAGCCAGTTTTGTCACCATATTGACACCTTCTCCTAGATGAAGAATTCAGCCCAGCCCAAAAACAAAAGCCCAGCACTGGTACTAATCAGCCTTTAAAATTGAATAAATTAACATTTCAAAAGCAAACCCATCCGCAGCAGTTTTGTTAGCCAGGAAAGGGAAGACTCCACTAAATCCAGTAAAGATTCAGCTATTTGATGCTGCCCAGCCATATCCCAATGCACAGTGACACAAAGTCAAGAGATGGCATCTTCAGCCTTTTGAAGTAAGAATGTCTACATTGTCTCCATGGGCTGTTTCAAATGGAGATGTCTCTACTACAGCATTCATTCTACTCAGTCCTTTAGTCCTGGAGTTTCCTGTGGGACATCTGAGTGAATCAGTCAGTATATGGATAGACAGTGACACTACAGCTCCAGGCCTTAGGAGCATCACAGCATAACCTAGATTCCCATCAATTGCAGTAGTAATTGTACATGTTCTGACCTGGCTTCTGCTCATTTCTGCAGCAGCATCTCCAAATGCCACTGCCCATTCCATGGAAGACTAGAGCTGACTCTGCTGTGTGGTGAGGCAGCAACCTTTGACATGCCTAGCAATGAACATGCCATGAATCTGAAAGCAAACATTTAGGGGCTCAAAGCCCTAGTTTTTAAGTGTTTGAATCACAAGCTTCAAACAAACGAGCTTGCATGAGTGCTTCACTAAAAAAATGGGGGAATTGGAGCATTTGTCCCTAATCCAAACCAGAGTGGTTACTCACAGAAGGACACTTGTAAAGGATCAAAGCTATTGCAAAAAAAAAAAAAAAAAATTAAAAAAAGGGGGAGTTAAAAGAGAGGGTACAATTCCAACAGATACTTTCCTGTCTGGAAAACATGAGAGAGACATAAACATTTTTATTGTCATGTCACATGATGGTGCTGCATTGAAGGTGATAGATTTCCTAGCAAATGTTTGTGTGGAAAGGCAAACGTGGCAGAGTGAGCTACTAGGACCTTTGGAGCTTGCCAGCCCCCCAGGAATGCTGGGGATCAGTGAGGACCAGTAGGTTCCTTACAGTGTGAGTGTGAGAATGTGTGTGAGAGAGAAAGGGAGTTCATATGCAGTGAAATAAAGGAATATCTGAGGCTTTACATTTGTGTATATACTTCACTGCATATCACTTTACATTATATATATATATATATATATACACAGTTTAAACAACATGCAGTATAAATTTCATCTACCAGTTTTTCATTAGTTGTCTATAAATGTGCAGAACTGCATAGTATTTTTAAGGCTGAAATTCTGTCCAGAGAACTCAAAAGCAGAATCTTGCTGGTTGTGCAAGAGTGCAGTGAGCATTTATGGGAGCTTTGCCCTGAGCAGGCTTGTGTGAGTGTTTCCTTTCATTGCCTTGAGCAGCAGAGAACTGGGTACACCAGATATACAGTGGCCAAATTATTTCTTGTATTGCCCTCAGCAAAGTTGCACCAAGACAGGGCCATTTGATCTATTGACCTTTGTTACAACTACAATTATTGTAAACTACATATTTGCTGAGATATTAATTCCTTGCTTTAATTTGACACTTTATTAACCTGGGGAAATTGACACAAAATAGAACCATCTTTTTGCTGTTCATTTAAAGTCCCATTGCTGAAACAGACAAACAAATTGCACAGAGTTTATATAATGGCCAGTACTAGATGTAAAATAACTTATAGCTGGTGCTTATAGAACAGCCTGCTGTTACTTGTTTATATTACTGCCCTGAATCTCAACTCTTCTTATCCTCTGTTAACAATGTTAATTTTATGTTATGTGGACAATACTGACATCCATGTAAATAGTTTATATTGGTTTGAATCCTTCTATATTGGGTGCTGAAGTCTGCATCCTATGAGTTTCCTAAGCTACCACTGTAAGGTAAAAACTGTCCTGGAAGACTGGGAGTGAGAAGAGGACACTGAGGGGAGAGCAAACTGCAGCTCATTTCAATTTCATACTATTGCTGCCTGAGATTTGTCCTTCACACAGAAGTATGGAAAAGTAGATCTTTTCCTGTAGCAGGTCAAAAAAAACATGTAGGTACAGAGCTCTGCTTGAACTGAGGTTTTTGGGGCAGCACAATTTAACTAGAGGTGTGTGGTGCCTAACCACTTGTATCAACTCTTGCCTTTCTACTGATCTTCTGCTAGCCATGCTCCAGAAGTTCACAGTTGATCACTGGATGGCAAAAAGCAGCTGTGAATGTTCAAACTATTTCTCCTCTTTAGGCACCATGGCCCACTTGGCCACAAACTCTGACTTCCATCTTCAGGGGGCCAGCATCTGCCCAGCAGAGAAGCTGCCAGGCCCTCCAGCTGCCAGGGCCGTGACGTTGCAGAGGGAGGATGCAGTACCAGCAATTAACAAAGGCCTTACATGAATGGACAGAACATCTGGGTTTCCCAGATTGGTCCCAAAGTTCTTGCTCAGCTCTGGACTGGCATTATGCCCTTTGAAAGTTTTAGTGGGAGGTTTGCCTGATTAAGATAGGAGAATCAAGTCCAGTGGGAGTAGCAGTCTATTAATACCTCTCCCTTATAAGACTATCCTTGCCAATTCTGTTTGGCTGCTTCATCTCCTGATATTCACTTTGACTTTCTTAATACTAACCAGCCTAAATATTTCTTGTTTGTCTTTCAGCAATATACTAAGTCCTTTGCCGCTTCTATTCAGTGAAGATAGATTATAATTTTTCTCCTGAAACATTGCATTTCTCTGAGCTGCAGTGGGAAGGTTTGAACTGGGGTTCATGTTCAGTAAGATAGCATCCACTTAAATGTGACAGCTAAGGAAGAATACAAGCAAGTGGACAGAAACAAGCCATTTCCTTATGAAGCCTCTTTGTTCTAATTACATAGTAATGCTGTCACTTCTCTAGAAATATCTGTTTCCTGGCTTATAATGTCATCTCTGCAAATTTCTGCAAATAATGCACATCTGCTAGGATGTGTATTATTTTGTAATATTTATAATTCTATTTTAATATTTATATTATATTTATATTGCAATTTTACATTTTAGCAACTCCGTTTTTCAGTGATATAAATCAGGAGCAACTTCACTACATCAAATTAGGTAAAGTGGCACAAACAGCAGCAGAAAAGACCTCTGACTTCCAAGAGACCTAGTGCATATTGGCTGTTTGCTAGCAAGTGCAGTAGCCCTGATTTTTTTATTGTAGTATTTATTATTTATAAACATGTAACTTTCCGAACTCAGAAGAAGAGGCCTTCTTTGAAGAGGGCAGTGTTGAAAAAAACAAAGTCAGACTGTGGGGAAAAAGATACATTATACAACAAAGGCTCACTGAAACACTGGGCAAGGTAATACTAATTATACATTTTAATCTTAATTGTTATTAAGCATGCTAACTTCCTTTCCTCCTCCACAACCTACTCCTGACATTTTCAGCCTCTGTACCACTTAATTCCAGGCTCTGATGCTAACCCTCACTCATCAGAGGTGTGGTAGACCTAATCAGCTATCCTAGGTTTTGTGGGAGGGATGGAGTTTTGAGAAAGGAATTCAAAAGAAATGAGGTTACAGTTCTAAAAAGGATGTCATGAGCAGGAGTACAGATCTCTGAGAGACAAATAGGTGAGCAGGATATTAGGTTTGGCTAATGGAGAAACAATCAACATGTGGCTGCCACATGACAAGATGTAAGTAGGAAGGGGCAGACTCGCAGGCCATCACAAGAAACATGATCTGGAGGTAGAGGCTGTGTGGAATGTGTGAAGAAATGTGCTTTTAAGAAGTTCTCACAGGAGGCAGCTGGAACCAGTTCTTGCATTGTGCAGTGTGGTGTGCTGATCTTTAAGGGTACACCACAAGGTTTAAGCAATAGCATTGTCAGACCAAGTGTGGTGGTGATGGTGGATTCACTTTGGTCCCTGCATCCCAGCTTCCCATATGCCCTGGAGAGGAAAGGAAAGGCTGCCCAGGGAACTGAGTCCTTATTTGTTGGGGATGATGAAGGGAGAGAAGGTAACTTGCCATGTTTTCTGCCTGATCAGCAATGACTTCCCCTGCAACCCATCAGGTGCAATACCATCAATATCCACTTTCCCAGGCACTTCTTCATGCCTGTTTTCATCCTGGCAGCCAACATGGTCATCACCCTCAGCATCACCACAACCACAGAGCCTGAGGACTCTTCTCAATGCTTCAAACCCAGCAGTATCTCAGTCCTTACCCCCAGGTCCCCTTCAGGACTCATCATCCAGGTGCCAGGGGGATGATGTAGTAAGTCTGGGCAGGATGGGGCTGGTAAGATGAAAAAAAGTTCTGGTTTTGGCTGGGATAGAGTTCATTTTCTTTACAGTAGCTTTACAGTGCTGTGTTTTGGATTTGTGACCAGTGGCGCTGACCCCACAGGGATGTGTGGGATTGGCTGCCTACTGGAGTTAACCCACAACAAAGCAGCAGCAGGAGCCAGTCCTGTGGAGCCAAGGTGTGAAACACAGGCATGACAGGGAGAGGATGTTTCCAAGTGACTCTTGAGCCAAGCGTATAAATAATGGCCACATCCTCAAGACAGTGAGATTTGGATGTGGCCTAGGTAAAAAACATGAAGGAAGGTGGGCATAAGACCCAATGTAGTGATTTGAGTCATGAGAGTTTGCAGATGTTGCCCATGGAATAGGGAAGAATGACCTGAAGAAAGTTTCAGAGGGGACATGCTAAGAGTTTTTCTGCTGATTTCAACACAGTTGGGATGATAGTCTTGTGTCATTTAGTTTGCCTTCTATTAAACTCTTGCTGATGCCAACCTATCCAGGAAGACACTCCTGACAGATTTTTTTTATTTTTTCCCTGTGGTAACACACATGTATTAGACTGCAGCAAACAGATGATATTCAGGGCTTGGGTTCTGGAAGTGTGAATTCTCGAGCAATAGGTACATCCCATCATCAAACCCTGCTGCTCTTGAGAGGGGTTTTATGGTGCAAAGCAGCAGCAATCTCCAGATATTGCATGCTAACTGCATTATTTCTTTTTGTTTCCTGGCTTCTGACACTGTCATTCAGGTGATACAAAAGTGAAGTTACAAATCTCCTTAAATAAATATGTTCTGTTGTCCATGTTGGGATGTAATTGTTCATTAATTCACATTTCAAAAGGCATTTTGATGAATGTACCAGAGGGCATGTGATAGAAATCCTTTTCTCCAGTATTTATGAGGGGAAACTACGATGGGGTAAGTGTCACGAATCTGGCACTAAATTTATTGTTCTTGTCAACTCTCAACATACTTCTCACCCAATAAATCTCTTAGACTTTAGACAGCACATCTGAAATATTTGTCCAGAGGAGAAATATCTGTTGCAGGTTTTCTTTCTTAGGTATTATGGCTTTATAACTTTAAAGGTGAAGTTTCTCACCTGGTCATTTGAAGAAGCATTTTATAGATTAGCAATCAAATGGAAATGAGAGTCACTAGTTTCATTGCAATGAATAATATCTATAACAAACACATAAAATTATGGGAACAGCAAAGTAAATTGTGCAACTTCTGTCCATCAAGATAATCTTCATAGCATGCATAATGCTTTTGGAAGTACTAGATTTTTATGAGTGTTTCTCAATAAATGGCTGCTAAAACATTTCACATGCCACAAGAGAAAATTCAAGCAGTGAAGTTGCAAAGTCAGGTAGTTAATGTTGTGAAATACTCATGTTGCTGGAAAGGTTTGTGATACAATCTTTAAAAACTTCCTTCTGATTTGTTTTTCTTTTCCCACAGAAAATCTGTGGCTGGTTACCACTGAAGAGACTGGTAAGTCATAAAGTCCAATACTTTTGAATTGAGTGTGGATTTTCACATAAACTGATGAGCTAACTGACAGCACAGTGACAGGTCATTAGTCTCTGTATGGAGAACTTGCCAGCAGAGAATGAGATGTACTGGGCAACAGAATTTTGTTAGATAATGTGTGCAGGTTTTCTTGATTTATACTAAGATATACGGAAATCTTTGTGTTCTTATACACATGTCTGCTTTTACCTCTTTCTTAATCCCTTTCTGCTTTTCTCACATCCTTTCCAGGCTTTAGTTCCTGCTTCCCTTCCAGCTTTCCCCAGTTCTCTCAAGGGGAGCCATTTTTTCCTCTCATGAGCTTTGCTTCCACAGTCATCTCCAGCATGAGCTGAATCACATTCACTTTAGCCTAGAGCATGTTTAGTCCAGACAGAACATAAGGCTTGTTTAGTAATCCCTGTTGAGTGTGTACAAATGCTTTTCAGACACTTAAAACTCAGCTATCTTTATATGGTACCTGGAAATTTGATAATTTTACAATTATTTTTTTACTGACATTGTCAGAAGTTTCGATTCATTGAAAATTTCAGTTCTAATAGTTAAATTATGAAAGATATGCAAGAAACTAGAAACAGAGGTTTGAGTTGGAACATGTTAAGCAGCACTGACTGTAGGCATCTTTTGCCTGCTGTAGCTTTAGCTGAAATGCCTGTAGAGAACAAGGAATGGCAGCAATGCATACTTGCTAATAACATTTCCATCCCATACAAACCTTTCCATCTTCGAGTGGAAAGCTCCCAGAGAGAGAGAGAAAGTTAAATTTAACTGAAGTACTTCTATCTCTTCTGCCTCTAGGATATGTGTTCACACCTCTGCAACATGTAAAGCAATCACCTTAAAGATTGTCTAATTTAATATGATTAGGAGTGTATAACATAAGAAGATTCATGAAACTGGGTATAGATAACTTGCTCCAGCTATGATACATGGCCTTCTCCTTTCTAAGCTTATTAAAGAGAAAGCTTGAGATCCCCTGGTGAGCTTCTTATCTCCAGTAATTAAGAATATCCTAATGGGCATGGTGCCTTTCTATGCATGTTGGGATGGACATAAACCATCATGGCCTCTTTCTGCCTCACATGAAGTAGCTCTGTGATTTCAGACAGAGCTCTCAGACATGTCTTGCACAGGGGAATGGCTCAGTTGTGACTCAGAACAATTTCCTATTAAAATATTTAACAGAGAAGCGCTGCTTTACTGTGGTCATAGGCGAAATACTGATCATGGTAATCATTACTGACACATTTTTTCATACAGGAAAAGGAAATGCAGAAGGAAAGAAAATTCTATCAGCCACAGGTAGGTAAGTAAAAAATAGTTTTATTTCATCATCTAACAATAAAGTTGATTGTACAGGTGGCCATGCTGCAGAGCACTTTCAGTCTGATCTCAGAAGAGATTTCAGCAGGGAAAGCAAAAATTTTAAGGTGGCCAAGGACAGAATGTTAGAGGCAAATGTAATAATCCATGTGTCTTCAACAGACACAATATAGGCAGCTTCTCAAAAAATGGCAAGGGCAAGAAATCAGCATGAACAAGATTCACATTCCAGACTGTCT